TTATTTCTTAAAAATATCAGCAACTGAATACCATTATATCCCTATAACAGTATAGTGACACTTTGTGCCGGGTTCTCTGAATTCACGAAATGCCTCTAGCTCCTTCCATTACAGATATATGTCTTTTCCTTTATAATTCTACAACAGTAGGAGATAGAAACTTACTACATTTTAAATTCAGAGAACCCAGTGTACACATTGGTAGTGGGAAGTGCCATGAATCCACTGCTGATTTCAAGATAAGCAACAAACACAGGTGGTTCGCCATTGCCTGTCTCTGCATAGCTTTCTTATAAGGTAAAGGTAAAGGTTCTCCTTGCTCGAAAGCCAGTCACGTCTGACTCTAGGGTTGCGGTGCTCATCTCCGTTTCAAAGCCGAAGGTGGTCATGTTGCCGGCATGACTATGGCGCATGGAACGCTGTTACCTTCCCACCGAAGTGGTACCTATTTATCTACTTGCAATTTCTTGCTTTTGAACTGCTAGGTTGGCAGGAGCTGGAACTAGAGACGGGAGCTCACTCCGTCATGCGGCACACTCGGGTCTCGAACTGCTGAACTATCGACCTTTAAGCTTTGTGCTTTTCCAGACACTTGACTTAGCCCTGAGCACTGGAATTGGGTCAGGCACAGTTCTTATGTACGTCTGCCCTCCCTCTGCATTTCCACGGTACTGGAATCAGTTCATTTTTTCTGCACATGCTTGAAATTAACAGGATTTTAAGGGGAGGATGCTGTCAACATTGGTGGTCTCACAAAACCCACATCCTTTTAAAAACAACATTAAAATATTGATACTTCAATATACTGCTGAAAGTCTCTAGGTCCTTCCTTTGTAGAGCTATGCCTTTTCCCCTTGTATCTCAACTTTCTTTAAGAAGATAATGTTGGTCCCAAGAGAGAGTTTGCTTTCATTATTCATGAAAGTATAATTTAGAAAACCACAGTTCCTATACCTGTAAGGACTTGCAGAATGAAACTAATCCACTGAATCCTAAAATACTATGAAGGGCGTCACAAGTCCCTTTATGTTCCTTCTGGTAGGTCCCCAGGGGTTTGGAAAACCTTGCAGTCCTGCACAGTGACACCACTCCCCTCCCTTCATTTCCCAGCGTACCCCAAAACAGTCTTGGGAAGTTCTGCTGCCACCAGGAACTCATAGAACATTTCCTGCTAAAGAGAGTCCCCCAAAACAGACGTGGGAAGTTCTGCTGCCATCAGGAACTCATAGGGCATTTCCTGCTAAAGAGAGTCACACCTGCATTGCAGTTTAAAGGCTCTGCCAGCTCCATCTTCCAACTTCACTCTGCCAGCTAGTAAGGGGCTTGTCACCCAGACCCTGAAGTTTCAAGGTGCCACACACCAGGGATGGTGAGCAGACTTGTTACTCCTCCCATTTACTGTGATACCAATGGCAAGACCGAATAGGTGTGGTGTGTTTGCAAAGGACAGACTTAGAGCATTCAAAGTATGAGAAAGTTTAACAGATGAATAAGAGTACACCTCTTCTGTTCAAGCTTTCAGTCTGAGTAAGAGAACAAAGAAAAGGTGAAAATATGCAGTCCTCTGTCCCTATACTATATCCTTGTCCTAAGAGTTGTTAATTTTTTTAAAAGACAGGATAGCTTTATTTGAAGTTGCAGAAGTTTAAAGTCCAGCATCACTTTAATTCTTTTGTTTGGTACTTCACTCCAATGTCCCTTGCCATGTGGCCAAGATGGAGTCTTTAAGTGTAAGGTTCGTTTGGCTTGGCTTGTGCCTCCCTGATAAGAAGCTGTAGAAAATGAATGTTTTGCCCTGAGCTTTAATAACCTCTTTCTCTTTCCCCCTTGGAATAAACTTACTGTTTGTTCCTGTTCCAAAGGAAGAGTTTTCTTCCAGCCATTTGGCTCTTAGCAATCTTTCTTAGGGATGGGCATAAACCAGGAAAATGCATTTCATTTTGGTTCGTAGTTCGTGATGTGCCCGGTTCATGAGTCATAAACCATCTTGAACTTTTAGGTGTCAAACAAATTGATTCAGTTTGTGATGTTTGTGACATGGTAGAGTGCCCCCCAGCATGCCAGAGACATTAAACTTGCAGGGGATCTCCAGCTGACTCTCCTCTACCTGCCCTCCAAGTTTGATGATGATGATTGCATTTATGGGGTCTGAGTTATGGCCTCCCAAAGAAGTTATGGTGCCCCCAAGTAGTGCTTTCTGTGGAAATGACAGGCGCACATTCAGGATGTTCATGAGTGTATAGAACAGACCCTGCGCAAGCTAGAGACATCAGACTCCACTCATGAACCACCACGAACCACTTGAAAGTTCATGGAAAGTTCATGTGGTTGACTTGCCATGGGCTTCAGTTTGCGAACCACGAACCAGCCAAGATTAATCACAAACTTTAGACGGTGAGCCTCTCCGTGCCTATCCCTAGCCTCTGTCCCTTGTGGACGTGACCTGGCAGCAGCGTGTGAGGAAGTGAGCCATTGTCCTGCTTCCTCCAGACACTTTGCAGAACCAAGAGCTTGATTGTCTGTGCTTGGAGCTCATTGGCTCCCTATTTCAACCCCCTTCCTGTCTGCCAGATGTTAGTCTGCAGAAGAGCGGAGTGTAGTCACAATAAGTGAAACCCATTGGGGAATTCCTGTGGTGGAGTTATGCAACTATCATTATAGATGTATAAGAGTTTAAAGTCAGGAAAAGATGAAAGAGTAATGGCCCTTATTTCAAATTAACCTCAGCCATAATGCATTTATTTATGTTATTTAACATCAAGCTTTCTCAGAAGGACTCAAAGCATAATGAGCCAGCACAATCACACACAAAAATGAGACATTCAATAAGCAATGCATTAAGGTTGTAGAGCCAGAAAGAACAGAAGTGTGGCATAAGTATTAACCTGGCACGAACTGCAATCACACACACTAAATAATCCACTTTCAATCCACTTTCATTGCACTTTCCAACTGGATTTTTACTGTGTGAACCGGCAAAATCCAATTTGAAAGTGCATTGGAAGTGGATTGGAAGTGGATTATTTAATGTGCGTGATCGTAGCCACACTAAGCCAGGGGTGTCAAACACAAGGCCCGGGGGCCAGAACCGGCCCATTCAGGGCTCTTACCCAGCCCACAAGACAAGCAACTGTTATATATGGAAATGTACTCCCATTTTTATGGTATCCCATGGACAAAACCTAGTCTTGGATATGATTAAATACAATACATTTATTGGGGTTTTTGTGGGTTCCCCAGTAAATCAATTAGTTTCACTGCTAGGAGTCAATTGCTTTTGTTTTTTTATTGTGAGTAAAACATAATATTGTTAATTGAATTTCCCTGTGTCTTTTGTGATGTTTATATCTCCAGTACCTAGTATTACTGCGGAGCTGCGGTTAAGACACTAAACTGCAGGATGTGGAAGGTTGGTAGTTCAGCAGTTTGAGACCCGAGTGTGCCGCATGACGGAGTGAGCTCCCGTCTCTAGTTCCAGCTCCTGCCAACCTAGCAGTTCGAAAGCAAGAAATTGCAAGTAGATAAATAGGGACCACTTCAGTGGGAAGGTAACAGCGTTCTGTGCGCCTTGGTGTTTAGTCATGCCGGCCACATGACCACGGAAACGTCTTCGGACAGCGCTGGCTCTTCGGCTTTGAAACGGAGATGAGCACCGCAACCCTAGAGTCGGATTCGACTGGCTTTCGAGCAAGGGAACCTTTACCTTTACCTTTGTACCTAGTATTACATTTTATGGCAAACATGGCCCGGCCTGACAAAGTGACATTTAAGTCAGATCCAGCCCTCGTAACAAATGAGTTTGACACCTTTGCACCAAGCAGTACAAGAATGATAAAATAGGATAATACGTACAGTAAGCAGTATAGACAACTGTCCCTAATCGTCTCACCAGGTAGGTTTGTAAGCCATTTTGTGCAGTGCAAGAATATTACCTCTGCAAATAAGCCTTCTTGAATAATTCCATACTGGGCAAGTTTGTGGAAAGCCGGGAGAAGATGGGAGGCCTCCTGACCTCCTTAGACAGGCAACTCCATAAGGTGGGAGCCAGAACAGAGCCACCACAACCCATTCTGAAATGGACTGAGGAACACAAGGCTGAAAACTACAGCGACACCGGGCTGAAACGCTAAGGCCTGTGTTTTCAAAACCAGAATTGAATTGTTCCCTGTTTCCTTTCTCCTAACAGAAATATAAAGACAACTCAAGTCCAGAATCCCAAAAGAAGAAACTGAGCATCATAACTAATATCCAGCCCGACAACCCTTCCTATTATGGATGCTGACCTGGTTTATTTTGATGACCCTAATGATACTTACTCTTCTTTGCCAGATGACAGTGTCAGTTCTGGGAATGTTTCAGATAATGTAGTTTTTGGTATCTCCATATTGGTGATCTGCATTTTCGGAGCCGTGGGGAACGGGATTGTCATCTGGCTTCTCGGCTTCCGCATTAAGAGGAATCCTTTCAGCACCTACATCTTGAACTTGGCCGTCGCTGATTTCGGGGTCCTCCTAGCAGCTACATTTTTTGTTGCTGATTATTGGGTTGGATTTATTTATGATACTCCCATTATATTCTTTGTCTTCTTTTTCCTATTCCTATCCACATACAGCAGTAGTCAATTTCTGCTGACGGCTATCAGCCTTGACAGGTGTGTGGCCGTCTTCTTCCCACTTTGGCATCGATGCCACCGGCCACCGCATTTGTCCACCATTGTGTGTGCACTGATTTGGGTCCTGGTCCTCTTTTTCCTGCTTACTGCAGTTACCTGCACTCTCAAAAGTGTAAGACTACATGTATCAATAATTGAAGAATCTTACCAGTTTATTGTGAATGCCGTGCTTTGCCTCCCGGTCATGACGATTGCCACCGTGTCCCTCTTCATCAAAGCCTGTTTGAAAGCCCGACAGCACCGGAGGGGAAGGCTTTTGACCGTCATCTTGCTGACTCTTCTCTTCTTCCTCCTCTTTGCTTTTCCATTCAACATCATGCACATCCTCACTAATCTCATTTATTTACCCATATACATGTCATCTGGTGCACTTCTGTTAGCCTGTTTAAATAGCAGCATAAACCCAGTCATATATTTCCTGGTTGGGAGGCAATGGAAGTCTAGTCATAGGGAGGGCATGAAGATGATCCTCCAGAAGGTTTTCAAGGAGGAGGAAGGCTGTGTGGAGGAAACCACAGTTTAGATCCATGTATGATACCATTCCAAGAGCCAAAAGCTTCTTCCTTTGTCGCAGGCAGATTCCATTGCAGCTTTCAATTTTAAAATGCAAAGAGAAAAACTGTAGGGTTGGAAATTTTGGGATGCATTCTGTTGCAAAGACATAAGAACATCAGAGAAGCCAATGTTGGATCAGGCCAATGGCCCATCTAGTCCAACACTCTGTCACACAGTGGCCAAAAAGACCAGGTGCCATCAGGAGGTCCACTAGTGGGGCCAGGACACTAGAAGCCCTCCCACTGTTGCCCCCCCCAAAGAACCAAGAACATAGTGCATCACTTGCCCCTGCCTGAGAGTTCTATCTATACCTTGTGGCTAATACCCACTGATGGACCTCTGCTCCATATGCTTATCTACTTCCCTCTTGAAGCCGTCCATGCTTGTAGCCACCACCACCTCCTGTGGCAGTGAAGTCCACATGTTAATCACTATTTGGGTTAAGAAGTACTTCCTTTTATCTGTTCTAACCCGAGTACAGTTTGGTGAAG